GGTACTTAGGGGAAATCTTGGTATATATGGGTATGATATATATATAGAAGGTAGAACCAACAAGATTTCCTGAAGGAAAAAAAGTACAATGTGAAATAAAGAGGCTGGGAAGATGCAACTGCCTTTATCTGAGATAAATAGACCAATATATAAAGCAGATCTGGAGACAGAGAACATAAGTTCAGTTTTAGAGAATCTGAGTTTGAGATGTTTTTTAGACATCTAAGGGAAATACTGAGTAGGCGATCGAACAAGAGTCTGGAGTCTAGGCTAGAGATAGAAGTTTGGGAGTTTCAGTATATAGATGGTATTTAAAGCCATAAAAGTATATAAGACACCAAGTACAGACAGGGGAGAGAAGAGATCCAGAAATGAACCCCCAAGAAGGTTAAAGATTAAGAGGCTGAGGAGATGAAACAGAACAAGAAGACTAAAAAGGAACAGTCAGTGAGGCAGGAGAACATCCATGAGAGCGTGATCTACTGGAAGCCAAGTGAAGCTATTTTATGGAAGGGGAAATGATCAACTGGGTCAGTTGCTGCTATGAAACAGGCAGAGAAGGTTACGTCACCTTATTACAAACGCAGAAATCAAAGCTCAGAGAAAGGTCTCCTAACCCTTAAGGATTCTGCCGGTCTACTGTCATGACCACAAATCATAGTCATTAGGCTGGAAATAGAGTTTTAGTTTTAGAGGCTTTCTTCAACAAGTTAATGGAAACTATGGGTGAATGGAGGAAAAACCGTAACGAGGGAGATGAAGTCAACAGAGGACAGGAACCTGGGAGGTATCTGCATATTAAAAGGGTAGAAGAAGAGTTAGAAAAGATTCTTTAAGAAAGACAAAGAACCAGGATGCAATGTCTCTGAAGGCAGGAAAAGATAAAAGCTTTAAGAAGAAATGCTTAGCCAACAGAGCTGAATACTGCACACAATCTATAACTGGTGTTAATAATGGAGTTTTTAAGAGTTGTTTTAGTAGAACATTGGAGATAAAAATCTGATCATAAGGATTATAGACTGGGTGGGTGATGAGAAGAGAAAAAGATAGGCAATTCTTTAAAGAAGTTTGATGATGAAGGAAAGAGACTCAAGGGATAACGAAATGTTTAGTTTTCATTAACTAGAAACCTGAGCATGTCTGCAAGAAAGATATTAGAACTGAGGAACTGAATATTCAAGGCATGGATTCTATGTTTGAAAAAGATATGATATTCAGCAAAATTGCAAAGAATATAATAAAGAGTTGGGATCAACAACTTAAATGAAAGTTGTGGAAATGTCAATGTAATCCCAAAGGAGAGGATGGATTGAAAAAAAAGACACTTCAGAAAGATTAAAAAGTAATAGCACTTTCAGACTGGTCTAATCTTTCATTAAATCATAGGTAAAATCAGTTGTCGGGGGAGAGTGAGCAGAGTCTAAGAAGAACAGATTAAATTTGGAAGAACTATTTTTAGAATTTTAGCTCTTTTGCTGATATGAGTAAGAAAGGAATGGAAAGAAAAAAAGCAAAAAAATTGAGTTGCTCTGTGGGACCTGTTAAAATGAGCTAGTTTTAGCTACCACGTCTGCATTATAATGATCAATATACTTGCTTGTATCCATCTGTAAGGGCCTACTTAGCCAGAGGGAGCCATTTTGTTGTTTATGCAATAAATTTAGATTGACCCTGCCCCTCCCAGAGGAACTTACTTAAAAGCAAGTCTGGGAAACTAGTCCCAGGTAACAAAGCCCAAATACAAGGGCAGGTCAGGCCAGGGGGAGACATCCAATCAGTGGGGCGCGCATACTCTCTCCCTAGCTACCAAGGAGAGTGGGCCCTGCCTTTTGGGCACCAATTCTGACCAAGGTGATAGGCTAATTCAAATATCTACTAGGGTAAATTGAAATTCAATTGGCCACCCGTGTGTGACCTAGCATGACTGTGCAGTTTTCTCTGTGTGTTGCAATCTCATTGGCCACCTGTGTGTGGCCAGGCTCAACCACATGGCCTTTACTCTATAAAAGTTAGTCTGTGAGGCTAGGAGGGGTTGCCCTCTCTGTAAGAGGTGGCCCCTACCAGTCAGTTTGACGGTTAGTTTGATTCTCGATGCTTGGCATGAAATAAAGCTTTGCTTGACCTTCGCTTTGTATCAGTCTCGCTCCTTTGATCACAGACCCATTATTGGGGGACCTAACACGTCTATGAGATAAATTACACAAGGGCAGAAAATGTTTATCCTGTTCATCACTATATTGCCACGAGCAAATGAACTCAATGAATAGTTCACAAATAAATGAATATGTACTGGACACAATCCCTATATTGCCAAAAATTCCTTAATGGCTAGTGTTTGATAATTATGACTGAGAGGTAAAAAAATGTTCTTTGTTGGTATTTTTCTTAGACCTATAAATTAGACTGCCCTTTTAAGTCAAAGACAGAATATGTTCAATAAATTAAAAAGGCATCAGGACAAAAGTTATCGTTTTGGATAAAATGCAGGAATTAAGTTTTCTGGTTATGGTCAGATAAGAGTCTGAGTCTGAACTTTAGGCAATTTTAGTAAGAATTTATCTGGAGTTCTTGGTAAATGAGATATGTTACACAAATAAAGTTTCCAGATATTTGAAATTTAATTCAACTATTAAGAATCATACTTTTATATATTTATCATTGTGGATGGCAATCTTTTAAAAAATGCATTTCATGTATTCCTGCCATCCAAAACAGAACCGAATAAAAATTATTTAATCTTTTCTTTAATATGTGGAAGTCATCCCTCTGGTATCAATTATTATACCACATAAAATTGTGACAGCCTGGGTTACAGGAGAGCTATAAGTCTCTACACTGAGTAGACCTACAGGCCTATACTTCTTACTTCCTGTTTCTTCTGTGGACTCTATTTGCTTTTACCAAAGTGCTTGTCCACTTGTTAATTTGTCAGTCTACTCTGGAGTAAACAGGGAAATGTGTTTGTTAAAACCATCTCAAAGTGGATTTATCACTGAACATTCTTTTGTACTATTTAGATTTACCACCATGTGCAAATGTATTTTTATTAAAGAGGGGAGAGAGACATGTTTCTGTGAATGAGTGTGAAGAGATTTCGAGCAGGGACTTACAGGCTGCCTTGCATCTAATGTGCATGAAGTTTTAGAGCACAGTTCAGTTATTTGTCAACTGAAAGATTGGTCCACTCTTTCATCTATTTCTTTATTATTATTTTGCTTCCTGATTCTCAGCTAGGCTTCTTTATTTTTTAAATTATTAACATATAATGAATTATTTGTTTCAGGGGTACAGTTCTGTGATTCATCAGTCGTACACAATACATAGCGCTCACCAAAACACATTCCCGCTCCAATGTCCATATCCCAGCCAGAGCGAAAAGTTGCCAAATAAGTAGTTTTAACTAGCTGTGTTCCTTAGCCATTAAACTAATTAAACAAAAACAAAAAACAATAATAACCCAACCACCAATTTTAACTACTTAGAATTAAGATTCTTAAAAAAGTAAGTGAGGAGATCTGGGTGGCTCAGTTGGTTAAGCATCTGCCTTCAGCCCAGGTCATGATCTTGGGGTCCTGGGATTGAGCCCCACATTGGGCTCCTTGTTCAGCAGGGAGCCTGTTTCTCCCTCTCCCTTTGCCCTTTCCCCTTCTTGTGCTGGCTTGCTCGCTCTCTCAAATAAATAAATAAAATCTTAAAAAAAAAAAAAAGTGTGAATGTGGGTAAGAGGGTTAGTACTGGCAAAGTTTATAATAGTAATAATGGTCAGCATTTTAATAATATAGTCGATATTTTAAAAAATTTTACCTATAAAAACAAATCCATATATTCATTGAATATACTGGTACAACTTTAAATCTGGCATTATTTGTTTTGCAGACTCGTATCTGCCTGCATAAGTACAGGTACTAAACTGTGATTCACAACAAAGCAATATTTCAGCATATTTCTATATTCATGAAGAGAATCCTCGCACATTAAAATCCATTTGATTGCTCTTGAATATTATATGTTTTCACTCAAAATTTACAGCAAATTATTTTTTCTAAAATACTGGGAAAAAACCCCTGAATTTTGAGTTAAAAAAAGCAGCAAATACTGAATAAAATCTGAAGTGCTCAACAGAACTGAAATGAACCAAATATTTTGCAATAACTTTCACACAAGAATAAAAATCTGAAACAGAAAAAGGGCACAACTGTTATTGCTGACCTAGAATTAAATACTTTAAAAATGAGTGATCTTAATGATCTTTTAAAAAGGAAACTATGAGAATGCTCAAGTTCTAATGCTAAGCTACTCTTACTGTCTAGAAAAAACTTAAGCATAGCTGTTAAAATTTTTACGTCGATTTTCTGAAATAAGGCAGAAATATATTTTCATTACATACTGTATACTCTCCCCAAAATATCTGAGAAAAAATACAAAAAACTGCCAATGAACCAACCCCCCAATCCAGAGGCCATCTGTTTAAAAACGAGCAATCAAAGTTTCTACTAGAACCTATGCATACATGTTGAATTCAGATCCTTCTGTGTTCTTCTATACAAGGCTGCAACCAGAGAGAATTAACTGTGTTCCACAGCCAACACATAAAAGCTGAATAAGAATCTTGTTCAGAAATTAGAACTCTGGAAATCACTATAAGGTTCACAGGGCACACTCTTTACAGAATGAAAGCTCTAGAATCTCTAGACTATATCTTAATATTTTTCAAAAAGGAAAAACAGCTCAGTGTTAATCCAAAACAAAATTATGTTAAGCAAAAATGACAGAGTTTATTTCAGTCTCTCAAATACCAAAGAGAGCTCTTAAGAATACAACATGAATAGGGTCATGAACTGGTTCAACATACTTAACTGGTAGTTTTATGAATTACAATGAATGCTGCTGCTTTCTAAAAATGAATGTATCAAAGAGGAAATAACCTCCTTGGCATGCTTGCAGCTATACAACACATTTGTTTCATTGCTTTTAAGCGTCTCTACGGGAGGCTCTGAATAAGTCAATGAGAGGACTTCAGTCACAGCAGCACGCAGGTCTACTGAGCAGATCAGATGACATGCTCAGGAAATTAACAAGAAGAGGTAAGTATTTTACAAATAAATAGATAAATAAATAAATATTTTACAAATAATTAGAATTAATCTAAAGATTTTTTCCCTTTCTTCAGAAAAACTGCTACTGTATCTTTCATTTCTATTCAGTGGCTTAAAAACCAAAATGAAAGTTTTACCAATGTTACAGGAGAGATATTTTATATAGGATTTACAAATTTTATTTACTTGAGAGGGAGAGAGTCAGAGAAGCATGCTGCCTGCTGAGCAGGAGGCCCTGACGTGGGGCTCAATCCCGGGACCTTGGGATCATGACCTAAACCAAAGGCAGCCGCTTAACTGGCTGACCCACACAGGCACCCCTGGATTTACAGATTTTACGAATTAATGGTTTAACCTTCCTCTTAGCTTATCCTCCTTCCCAAGGAAGCTGGGGAGGTTAAAGAAAAAAATGACTACTTAAAACAAAAAAAGAACTGTTTCAAATTTGGCATAAAGTGATAAATTTGGAAAATATTTGTGGCAGTAATAGGTTTTCTCTGAAAGATGATTTTATTAAAAACAATTATTTGGATCCTACTAATACCTATTTTTTTTCCTTCTCTCAAACTAAAAGAGTTTTAAAATGTTGCATAAAAATGGCTATTACATCAGTATTAAGATAAACCTGACCAGATAAAACCCAATTACAAATAAGGATTCCTAGCTGGTAAATCATTCATATGGACCTTAGGTGGGCTTGAAGAATTTCTAGGTGGGTAACCAGTGTGTACCAAAAAGTTCTATTCAGAACTATGTAGAGCTTTAATGTTTCTATTCTTCTGTACATATTCTAAGGTAAAGGTAAAAAGACATTCAAGGGTCAGGAAACATCTAGCCTTTTTTTTTTAATAACCACTGAAAAAATTAATGCATCTCCTGTTTCGTGACCTGAGGCATATCAGGAACACGACTGTGGAAATAGGTTGCATTGTCACAAATGCACAAGGGACCTATTGAGATGGGAAGGGCTACTAAGTTCAAGAGTTTTTTCTGTTTTTTTTGAAAATAACGAAATAAAATAATGCAATCTACATATTTTAAATCTAGGGGGAACTCTTTGAACTCACTGGCATTCAAATTCAAACACAAGTCTAGTGCTACAGCAGAGAGAGAGAGAGAGAGAGAGAGGAGAGAAGACAAAAAGTAATAAACAGTCTTTCTTTCACAGCTATCAGTTTCTTTCTCTAAGCCTTCTGAAATCTGAGCCTCTGCAGAAGACTAAACCCTGGGGCCTTACCTACAGAAATGGACAGAAGCTTGTATACTCTCATTTTCAAGAACCCAAAAATTTTTTTAAAGGAAGGAGTCAACTTTGGCTTTGAGTGTTCAGCCTGGGTACAATGCCTTTAAAAAGCAGATGACCAGCTTAGCTACCGACCATGCAGACCATTGTCCGGAATTGGATCACATCACACAAAAACAGCGAATGGCCTTCTCTTACAGAAGAATATCAGAACAGAGCACAATTCCTGAGCACATTTTGCAGAGCTCCTTTCATCACTTAATCTTTGCTAACTGGTCTGGATTACAGACAGAATCGATACCAGAGGAAATGAAACAGACTGGTGAGCAACAGGGAAATAAACCACGCTGGGCAGCTCTTCTGATACTCCTGGTGATAATACCCACAATTGGTGGGAACATCCTTGTTATTCTGGCTGTTTCACTGGAGAAAAAGCTGCAGTATGCTACTAATTATTTTCTAATGTCCCTGGCAGTGGCTGATTTGCTGGTTGGATTGTTTGTGATGCCGATTGCCCTCTTGACAATAATGTTTGGTAAGTATTTCACTTTGCTCCTGGCATCAAACCACAGAACTATGATATACTATCAGAGAAATGGATACTCAGTCTTTAAAGATGGACTTGGACCATTTAAAGATAACAGTAGATAAACAGTCCCTCATTTCCATCATTTTCTACTGTTGATAATGAGCTTTAAAGAGCAAAAAATAGTTTCTTAGAAACTATTCTACTCTTCCCCCAGCCATCTAATAAAAGTCTAATTAGCCATTTAATCATTTAAAAAGTCATCCAAGTTAGCAAGATCCACAGATTCTGCATTCATCGCCTAAAAATTACAGTGAAGAAGAGACAGACCTAGACTTTAACTTTCCCATTATCAATCCTTTTTTTCCCTTGACCAAGCAACAGCAAGGACACTTTTGTGACATCTGGTTATGTGCCGGGTTATTGATTAATAATAAAATCTTTGAATCACTTAATTCCAATTTGAATCACTAAACACCAATTTAAAATTGGAATTGTTCTAAAAGTTCTTGTTATTTTTTTTTATCATTTGTGTACTTTAGCCTTAAACATAATTCTTAACACATGCGTCATGTTAAGAAAATATTATGGTTAGTTGCTAAAGGAAATGGTTTGGCTCACAGTGTCCTAAGAAATGATTCATCTGTTTAATTTTTATGATTTCTAATGATCCATGTCCTTGATACATGTAAGAAAAATCTGATTCAAAATAAAATTAAATATTAAAAATTTATTAAAAATGAACTATTAAAACAAGTGACCAAAACCTGAGTTATTACAATAATAACTTGATATTAAAATATTAGTTTGTTATAAGAAAAGAGATAATATTAAAATGAAAGTTTTCACTTATGTGTATCATCTCTAGTTACAGAATTTGGGTAAATACAAATAATTCTGATAAATTATGAGGGCTTCTGAGAATCAGCATAAAGAAATACTTAACTTATTTAGTGCTTTGCATAAATTCATATTAGACTCATTAACTGCTTAAGAAAATGGTTATTTGTAGCAGATAGGGCTTCTTGAAATTATGTTTATATGGTGAGGATAAAAATATTTCAGGTTATAGAAATAAAGTTTATTTAACTAGAATATGTGTTAGAAGGAGACTAAAGACTCCAATTAAAAAAACCCCTCCAATTTAAACTATTATATTTAGGTTTATATATTACATTTTTAAGTAATTATCAAAATATACCTAAATTAAGTGTTTGATCCCCCAAATGAGATGGTGACAGGCTAAACTTTCCATTCTAAATTAACATCTAACCAAGGCTTTAAATTCTTTAAATTACTGCAGGGCAAGCAGTAATAACTAAGGTTCTACAGCTTTAATAGACTCTCTAATCATTAATAATATCCAACTATCCCTTCTTTTATACATTTGTAATTTTTTGAATATTTTAGTACAACATGTAACCATGGGAAGTAATTAAGAAATTTTATTCTAAAGGAGAACCTAAAGGATCTTGATTCTGAAAAAAGTTTGAAAGAAATAAAGTAAATGAGGATAATGTAGAAACATTTATGTATATTTGGTAAATACTGCAGATACTTGATTCAAGGCTCTTATCTCCAAATACACAATACTAATTAATCTGTAAAATCACACTCTTTAAATTATGTTTTTGCTAGACATACAGAAAATGTTATAATGCTCATCTTATACTACCATAAAATTTAATTGATATATTATTTTGAATAAATGAAACTGAATGAGTTACACAGAACTGAATTTTAATTCTAAAGTCCATATCAAACATCCACTATTTGCAAATTACTGTGGTAGATACTCAAATTATCAGCTAAATAGTTAAAGAATCTTAAAAAGCTAAGTTTCATAGTATTAAAGTGATTAGATAAAAGAGAAAAACAGATAAAAGAGCTAATTCCGTGTCCACAGAAAAATGGGAGGTTATCTGCAGCTGACGACTGAGCTTATATTTAGATTTTTGGGACCCAAGATATTCTTGGCAATAAATGGTAGCAGAAAACCCAATATATTTTAACATAAAATATATGGAATGTCTTCCTATTTATGTCCTAAACACTATGATATGTTTTAACTATATTTCATTCTCTCAAATGCTTGTTAATTTTTAAAAAATAAAATAAAATCTTCTATGGTCCCAAACACTTCTACTATCAGTAATGAAGCAATACTGGGAGATTAGATTTTTAAAAACTAAACTAACCTGGGAACTTAAACACTACTTAAAAATTACTGCTTTAAATTCATTATTAAAAACATTATTCCATTTCTAAGAGAAAGAATATGAGAAAATGCATGCTCTGCACTCTAAAAAGCTTCAAAAGGATGCATTCATAAATTGGAAACTGCACATACTATAAATTGGGACTTGACTTCAAACACTAAGATTTTTATAGCCCTTCACATGTTAACAAATACAAAGACTTCCTAAATTAATGCAGTTATAAGAATTTTTGGTAACATTAAAGGGGGGGAATAGATTTTGTGTATTTTTCTCTCATTATAGGAATCATCTTCCGAACTTCAGAAGTCTGTACAAACAAAAGCGTCCCTGATTCTGTAAACATAAAACATTAACTACCACTGAGTAGTATGAGTGCTTTTAATTATCTCAGGGAAATTAAATGAAAGTAACAAAAGAAACTTTACATTAGTTAACGTTCTAATAAAATTAAGTTTTGAAAAAAGGAGAGCAGTGAAACTTTAAAGACTGACTCTTATGCTGTGGAGTATGTTATTCAACCAATGATTTACGTAATATTTGATTATATAATATTGTTTGCTTTTTTTTTTTCTTTACAGAATTTCTATTTTAGCAAGATTATGATGACTGGCCTAACATGGTCTCTCAAATGAACTGTGATACCTATGTCAATCTTTCTGCCACTTCTTCCACTCTGGGAGCACTAGACTTAACTTTTGCTTTGAAGGTCTAGTTTTGACTGTCTTGTGTATAATTCCCAAAATCCACGATCATAAGTCAGTGGCTTATAACATAAGGCTTAAAAATGCCTACTTAGAGGGCATTTAGAAATACCTCAATAGGATGTAAAGGAAAATAGAACATCATATGCCAATATAAAAAAGACAGGATGTTCACACTTTATGAACTTCTCTGAACTTTCATTAAATAAATGATTAAAAATGTAAAGGAGAAAATACAGTGTTTGGTCACTCATTGGTCATTACTTGTTTATTTATAACTTAAGTTTTAATCCATGTCTCATAATTAAAGTTGAAACAGTATCTATGCTATAACTGCAAGAGGCTGTAGAAAATAAAATGGTTGCAAGATAGGGATCTGAAGCAAGACATCCCAGGCACTGAATCCTGAAATAGTCAACTAAGGCCCAGCACATTATAGGCACCAGTAACTGGCAAGTATCAGCAGAATATGAGAAGAGTTCATAAACTTTAAATATGTGATTTAGTTTAGATGTGAATCTGACCAGAGAGGTGAAACAGATGTACAGCAGTAAAAGAAAAAGAAAATCAGTTATTAATGTGGTGAAATGCTGCTCTACCCAATCTTAAATGAGGGACCAAAGCAATTAAAGGCACTTTTTTTTGGAAAGTGGAAATTTAGGGTGCCTGGGTAGCTCAGTCATTAAGCGTCTGCCTTTAGCTCAGGTTCCCTGTGTTGGGCTCCCTGCTTGGCGGGAAGCCTGCTTCTCCCACTCCCACTCCTCCCGCTTGTATTCCCTCTCACACGGTCTCACTGTCAAATAAATAAATAAAATCTTAAAAAACAAAAACAAACAAAAAAGGAAAGTGGAAATATAAAAAACCAAGAAAAGAAATTTTGTAAGCATTAAATCACTTGAAATGTTGAAAACACTATCATATTAGACATCTAGTCCCAGAGTATTTTATATATCCAAATGTAGTGGGAAAATGACAACAAAAACAAAACAGAAGCTTCATAATAAAAACTGAAGCACTGATCTATGTCTTTCTTTCCTGAAAGATAATACAAATATAAGAATTTCTGAGAATAAAAAAATGGGTACTTTGAGAACCCCGTGTCCTTTTTGGCTATGAGGCTATTTAGGGTCTGTCCTACTCTAATAAACTCATGAACTATTTACCTTGGTAAACTCTATAGGCACAGTCCCCTTGGGATAGCTTCAAAAATACAGTCATTTAAAATTCTCAGAAGGCAAATATCTTATGTCTCAGATTTACAGGTTAATTTTAATTATTTTTCTGAATTAATCATATAACTCAGCTTTCCAAACTAAAAACCTGCTGAAAGAGTAAGCAGGTTTCAGATCAAATGAGTGCATCTCACCAAGAAATGGTGTTTCTGGTTAAAAACACTCAGGTTTCTATAGCCATTAAAAAGAAAGCTAAATAAATAAATAAATAGCCAAGCATGCAATGTATATAGGTTACTTATGTTTGCTATTTATATATATATATATACACACACATATAAATATAGAGAGTAAAAGGCATACTTTCATGAAAATTTAAAGTTAAACACATTCTCATACCTTTAAAAAAAAAACTTGAAGTTCAGTTGGATACATGCACTCTTGCTACAGCAGACAGGAGGACAAACATACTGGTTTTACAGTGATGATACGACTTAACATTTATTTCTAAGTAGGAGTGTTTTAATGGGTAGGCTAGTTTCTGTCGAACAGTAATAGTAACAGGAACTAACATTATAGAGTGCTTTCTTATGCCAGACATTGTTCTAAACACTTTACATGTATTACTGCATTTAATCTTCAAAGAAATCCTATAAAATTGGTATCATCATCATTATCACCATTTTTCAAGAGAGAACAGAATAATAATAAATAAATGGCAGAGACATGATTTGAATCCCGGAGAATGGCCCATGTCTATGAAGTTGTTAACCCTTGTCTGGAGACAAACAGAAACTGATGTAATTGAATGGCAATTCTAACACCCCTTATGTATGGTGGTATTTGAAGCATGCAAGTCTTCATTTTAAGCAACAAACTTTGTGCTATTAATATTTTTAGATAAATAATGAACTATATATAATCCACAACTCAGTAAGATTGTTATGCTCCTATAATTACTGACCTGTAATTATTTCAGGCATCCACAGAAGTGCCATTATTCAAACTTTACTGAAATTAAATTCCTCTTTAAGATTAATTTGGGAGCAGGTGGGGGAAGAGGTAGGTTTTTCAAAGAAAGTTTGTGCACTTTTTGTGAAACAACAAATACTATACAATTTAAAAGTTTTCCTTCTTCTGTCTTAGCTTTTATGAAAAAGACAAGTTCAGAGCCCCAGAATAGCAGTAATTAATTTAGTTCAAGTACCTGATAACTTATTTCCCTTATATTGACTCTTATATATATTTTTCTTTCTGTATAAATCTATAACTGGTCCATATGAAATAGTATAGTAAGTTCTTATGGAAGTAAGCTGGACATAATATATTATAACAAATAAATGAAATTATAAATCCTTAAAACAAATTAAAACCCTAGTAAAAATAACAAAGTTTTGGAGTAATCTACTCCACACCAAAGTAAGATACTTTTCTGACCCTGAGCCTATCAAATTAATACTAAATGAAAAGATAATTTTAGAAATGAAAGTATCTGGACTAGGGAAAATCCCTTTACAACCTGAGAATGTCTAGAACTGTTTTTAATTTGTATAAATTCTTAGATTACCCAAATCTATTTAGGCAGGCAAGATTTTTTCTTCTTACTTTATATAAAAGATTTCTATTCATTTAATGCAGTCATATTACTTTTATGTTCATTTCATAAAAAGCCTATTGACTAGTACCTTCATGAAACTTTCAATTATAAAGATTAATAATAAAGTCCATCTCTTTTAATCCTAAACCTATATCACAGTCTCCTTAAAGAAAATTCCCTATCATGCCTCAGTATTTCTACTATTAGTAATAAGTACCGACTAAAATAATAAAATTCTAGCAAACTGCATTAATTATAATATCTGCTTCATGCACCAAAATTGGAGTTTATTTTATTTTTTTAAGATTTTACTTATTTATTTAACAGACAAGAGATCACAAGTAGGCAGAGAGGCAGACAGGGAGAGAGGAGGAAGCAGGCTCCCTGCCGAGCAGAGTCCGATGTGGGGCTCGATCCCAGGACCCTGGGAACATGACCTGAGCCGAAGACAGAAGCTTTAACCCACTGAGCCACCCAGGCGCCCCAAGATTTTATTTATTCGAGAGAGAGGAAATAGCGAGATAGAGCATGAACTGGGGTGTGTGTGTGAGGGGGTGGGGAGAGGGAGAAGCAGGCTCCCTGCTGAGCAGGGAGCCCAACGAAGGGTTCAAGCTCATTACCTGAGAAGAAGCAGTCCCTTAACCGACTGGGCCACCCAGATGCCCCTGAAAATTTGGAGTTTATAAAATAAATTCATTCTGTTGGAAAGTGAGCCTAACAAGGCTTCACTGGAGCACTGAAGAGCTTTCTCTTTTAGTCCACAATTAGAGTCAAATTGTCTATTTTCCAAAGACTTGTACTTTTTACATGGCTTCCTGCTCATGGCTACTAGATTTATGACTAGAATTTCCCAGATCTTAATTTAAAAACATATAACCCATAATTAGAAAAGCTAAATAGGCAAGTTTAAAACTATGATCAGTATCTCTTGTTATAGTTCTACATTTGAGTATTTTTCTATCTTCTACTCAGTTCTAAATATAGAACATCAGGACAGTTTAGAATGTAACATCATTTCAAGTAGTTTCCACTGCACAACTCTTTCAATCATATGTGATTATTTTCACTCTACTTGAACTGTGAGTTTACTTAAGCTGAGGTCCGTTGCAGCCTTTCAGTGTCCAAAGTCCTTTTCTACTTATTAACAGAAAATCTGAATACTATGACTAAGAGGGAGAAAAATCTAACTGATTAAGTTTCTCTCTAAAGACAGATTTCTCTGCCAGACTTGATTTATTTTGAGAGGTCTCCCATAAAGAGGCATTCTGAGTGCCTATCCTACAACAGTGAATAAATGCTGGTGCATCTTTTAAGACCCAAGATATTATAATGTTCCCCAGAGTCTTCTAAAACCCTGCTTTTAAAACATTAATTTGCACGCTTTTGAAAAAAAAAATATTCAAATCTATCTCAAAACTCTTTCCCTAAATGATAGGCTTTCATTTATTTATTTATTTATTTTTGGTGTGGGATGTTAACATCTCTCCACCCCCAAGGTTCTTAAATTTAAACAGTTTACAACTGAAGAGTTTCTTGGTGCTCTGAAATCCTAAAATGGTATCTTGGTCTTCCTTCAATTATCCCAATTATCTGTCAAGGTCAAATAATCATGCAAAAACTAGGAAAAGTAGTTTATATTTTTCAGTGGACATACAACAATTAAACTATAAGAAGGATTTAGATACTCTCATATATATACGACATTAGTTCTGCAAAGAAGTAATTTGCTTTTATTGCAAGGTCTAAAATCTGTGTGTGTGTGTGTGTGTGTGTGTGTGTGTCTGTTAGAAATGTGGGTTCTAAATGAAATATTCTAGGGGAAACCCTAAAATAAATTTTAGGTGTTTTGGAACTGCAAATATATATATATTGGGTGTATGTATAAAATATAACGTATCAACCCATATGTGTTATAGACACTTGCCTAAGTAAATTTATTGGAAAACTATATAGAATATTCAGTACCATATCCAATACTGAATTTTTTCCAAGTTATTATTTCTCAAATGCTTAAGACTGTATGAGGCATAGAATAAATTTTTTTAATAAGAGTTTGTTACATAAATTAAGTACTATGTTTAATCCTGACACTTGCTTTTTAAAACATAACTCCCCAGTGCCTGGAGTGAATGATGAAATATGGAAGGATAACAATCCATTTTTCTTCAGAATAATCTGAAGTCATTCCTTTTGCAAACTTTATTTAAGAACTACTTCTGTCAAAAAGAAAACTCCTATCATTTCACTTAATGATTTCACCAAATGAGAATTTGCTATAAACAAAGATCACGCTGCTAGTTATTGCTAGAAATGAGCCAAATCCTAGGCTTCACTGAGATTCCCATTCTAATACTCTTTTTTGCCACATCGTATTGCTTCCTCTATGTGGTAAAATATTCTTTTTATACAAAAGCAGCTTAAAAATTAATTTTATTTGACTAGCAAGGTTAAGTTGCAGTTGCAACAGTGTGGAAATTTTTAAAAGATCACAAAAGGAACAGATAAAAGAGCAACTACGGTCAAATGAATGCTAAAAATGCTAAACTGCTGATTTTGAAAAAGGGTGTTGTGATTACTATACAAAACAGAAAATGTATTTAAAAGGGACCATTTACAGAAATATATTTATTATTACTGAATCCATTATCTAAAGTTAGACATTTGTGGAGGTTAACTCATAAAATTTCAAATAATTAACAAAAAGTTTAAAAATATGTATCACTTTAAAAAGAAACTGCAAATTGAAGATTGCCATTCATGAGAATATGCTTTTGTTTTGTTTTTCAGAGGCTATGTGGCCCCTCCCACTTGTTCTATGCCCTGCCTGGTTATTTCTTGATGTTCTTTTTTCTACTGCATCCATCATGCATCTCTGTGCCATTTCCGTGGATCGTTACATAGCCATCAAAAAGCCAATCCAGGCCAATCAATATAACTCACGAGCCACAGCACTCATCAAGATTACAGTGGTATGGCTAATTTCAACAGGTATGTGGGGAATGTCAGGGTGTGGGGTGGTATAAATAAACAGCTTTTGGTTTCTTTTGGGTAAGAAATATACCAGGCCAGGTAGGCTGTGAAACTTAGCATAAGAGGTCAAGGCAGACTACTGATATACTGATACACCAACACAAGCTCTTTATGTCATGTCATCATATAAAATCACACTATCAACAACATGTGTGAAAAAGCAAAAAGTTCATGTCCTCAGAAAGAACCATCTTCACAAAGGTTACTGAGATATCTTCCTGCTTTGATTTTGACGTGCAGGAAGACTAAGTCTGAAAACAGGTTTTGTTTTTGTCAATAGATCATTAAGGTCTAGGGAGCATGCAAAATCTTGAAATTAGTATTAAAGTAACAAAAAATTAAAATGCATCTTCAGTCACACTTAAGAAGATAAACAGGAAAAGAGAAACAAGAAAAAAAAACCAAACACTTTGTATGCACGTACTAAAGACCATAAATTCACCTTGGAAGCCAATATGTGTATAGAATAAAGGCAGTAAGTGTCTACATAAGTGTTCTGGATATATGATTAATCGGAGGTTTTAAGAGAGATGCTAGCGATATTCAGAAATGATTTACATAAGAAAATAGTATTTCTTCTAAACTGCCTTATGCCCTTGTGCCCATCTTTAATGCTCAAAGATAGCTTCTATGATAGAGTATCCTAGCATGAAGTACAGCAGAAATAATTCAGACCTCTTATAAGTTAGTATCAGAAAAGATTCACAACAATTACTATGATGATCATCAATAGTCTGACTAGCAGATTCGCTTCTTCCTAGAAAAAAAAAAAGAGGAAAAAAAATCAAGAGAGATCTGGAATGCTAAAGGAAAACCATGAAAAAGACATGGTCTCTCTCTAATAAAAATAAGAACACTGGGCAAAAAAAAAAAACAAGATAATGAAAGTGACCTTTATGTTCCTGAAACAACAGCAGGGCCAAACCTCTTTTGAAAAGTTTGGAGGTAAAAGTAAGGAGTGTTATTACTCTGGCTTGTGAAGAAATCAGTGCCAAGGAAAAGTCTGTTCAGAATGACAGGTTTGTAAGCAGAGAGATAGGCTAGTTTTGGGGACAGATGCTGATTGACAGAGCAGAAAAGGCCCCCCAAAAGAAGCCAGAGAAAGGGCATGGGAGATAATGGGTAACAGTCACCAAAATTTAAAGTAGAAAGAAGGGAAACTATAGTAGTTCATGCCAGAAGTCCCAATCTTTTTGGTAAACTCACTGCAGTAAGGGAGAGATGGGGAAGACAGTGTGAGGTATGTGTGTGTTGGGTTAAGGTGGAGGAAACAGGGCAAAGGCAGGGAGAAAACAGGAGAAATGACCCTTAAGAAGAATTAAAACATTTGAAACCATGAAATATGATCAAGCCAATAAAGAGCCTACTGTTAGAAGTGATCCCAATTAAAGCTGGTTCGCATGAATCCGTAAGCAGATCAAATCTCTGTTGCATACCTGTGACATACTAGATATCAAGAATACAAAGATAAATAAAAAAAAGCCTCTATATTCAAGGAAGTCAGATAATAAACAAATTAGTCTAATACAAAGCATTAAGTAGGCAGGTAGAAAAGAATAAAAAAATTCCAGATTTACAGCTTTGGAAGGGATCTTAAAAATTTACTTTTTCCTTTTATAGAAGAGAAAAGAAACCTAGAGGTTTTATTTTTTAAAAAGATTTTATTTATTTATTTGAGAGAGAGAGCATTAACAAGCAGGAGGGGAGGAGCAGAGGGAAAGGGAGAAAGAAGCTCCCTGCCCTGACATGGGGCTCAACCCCAGCACCTGGGATCATGACCGATGCTTACTGATTGAGCCACCTAGGTGCCCCAAAATGTAGAGGTTTTAGATAGTTGGCTTAAAGACTGTTAACAGCTTTTCAGCACCAAATGTCACAATCAATGCTGTGTTCATTTCATCACCCTTTGTTTGTAGGACTAGTGACAATTTAGTAACTTTGTAGAAGAAAAAGCAGATGATAGGGTTAGTTCAGTTTTTAAATTCTGCAAAATGCTGAAAAGAGCTCGCTTTCTTTTGGACTTAGTTATCCTCAGTAAGACCTGGCAAAAAAGTAAGGTATGAAAGAGTAAGGGAATAAGGGTATAAAAAGTACCAGTGAAAACTTATGTTATTGACCACCAATCTGGTTGAAAAGGTAATGTGAGCCTTGAAGGAGGTTAACAGAATGTGAAAACAGAGAAGGATGAATGGACTAGAGGTCAACATAACTGTAAAACGAAGTCCCACGGTAATGAAGAGTAGCAGGGCAAGAAAGGGAAATTTCACACAAAGTTCTTGGTTTTAGATATGGGACAGCTTTAAGAGGGTTTGTGGATGCCTTCAGGAATGCAAATAATAATAATGAGGGTTGATACACCAGAAACTAATATAATACTGTATGTTAACTACACTGGAAATAAAATTTTAAAAATAATAAAAGATATAAGAATGGAGTTCAACAGACACAAAATGAAGGTGTCAGAAGGGTCATCAATAAGGTCAAGTCATGGAAGGTAACAGCAATGGAGTGGTGGAGAGGAAGGCTTTAGCAAGGTGCTGAATCTACTGAGGAAGATGGGCAGAGGTCCTGGAGGTTGGTAGATGACCTGCATGGAGAACAGAGTATTGTAAGCAGATTATCAATAGACTTCAAAAGGGAACGGTTTTGGGGAGAAAAGTGGAAAAATCACTTAGAATTACCAGGGTACAGCAGGGGTCAGCCAACTTTTCCTGTAAAAGGCAAGAAAGTAAATATTTTGGGCTTGCAGGTTCTAACGGTACTCAACTCCGCAGCAGCAGAGTAAAAGCAATCATAGACAATTTGTTAACAAATGGGGATGGCTGTGTTCCAATAAAATTTTATTTACAAAAACAGGATGTAGGCCAGATTTAGCCCTCAAGCTGTAATGTGCTGACTTCTAGTGTAGAACAGTAAGTATAAAGAATCCACTTTCTGGTGGGAGAGTTGAGGAAAAGTAGAAAAAGCAGTAGCCTCCCTGTTAGAAAGTATTTGAGGAAAATATTTTCATCAATGGCTCTTCAGTTACCATAAAAAGGCTGTGTACATGATGAAGTACTTTCAAATTCATAAAAAACAAAACAAAACACAAGGATTCTAGAGATTTCTAAAGATACAGTTAATTCAAACTTCTTTTTAAGAATCTGCTGTTTCAAAGGGAAAGGATTCAGGATAACACTTGTGTACTTGTCTAATAAGCAAGATCATATTTAAATACCCTCTCCATGGTATTTAAAGTATTAGAAAATTAGCATGAGATATATTTCTTTCATATCTGTTGGAGGAACTCTCAACCTGAAAATAAATTTCATTTGGAATATCTTCTTTGCAGAAATGTCTGTTCATGTCTTCTGCCCATTTCTTGATTGGCTTATTTGTTCTTTGGGTGTTGAATTTGATAAGTTCTATTTATGAATTTGATAAGTTGAATTTGATAAGGCTTTTGAATACTACACCTTAATCTGATATGTCATTTGCAAATATCTTCTCCCTTTCTGTCGGACATCCAAGTGGCCAATGGACACACGAAAAAGTGCCCAACATCACTCAGCATCAGGGAAATACAAATCAAAACCACAGTGAGATACCCCCTCACAGCAGTCAGAATGGCTACAATTTACAAGTCAGGAAATGACAGATGTTGACAAGGATGTGGAGAAACATCTACGCTGTTGGTGGGAATGCAAGCTGGTGCAGCCACTCTGAAAAACAGTATGGAGGTTCCTCAAAGTTGGAAATAGAGCTACCCTATGACCCAGCAATCGCACTACTGGGTATTTATCCTAAAGATATAAATGTAGTGATCGAAGGGGTACATGCATCCCAATGTTTATAGCAACAATGTCCACAACAGCCAAACTATGGAAAGAGTCTAGATGTCCATCAACAGATGAATGGATAGAGAAGATGTGGTATATATATATATACAATGGAATACTATGTAGCCATCAAAAAACCCGAAATCTTGCCATTTGCAATGACGTGGATGGAACTAGAGGCTATGATGCTGAGCAAAATAAGTCAATCAGAGAAAGACAATTACCATATGATCTCTCTGATATGAGGACATTGAGAGGCAGGGTGGGGGGGTCATGGGGGGAAGGGAAGGAAAAAAATGAAACAAGATGGGACTGGGGAGGGAGACAAACCATATGAGACTCCCCCCCCCCCCATATGAGACTCAATCTCAGGAAACAAACTGAGGGTTGGAGGGGGGAGATAGGATGACTGGGGAGGGTATGTGCTTTGGTGAGTGTTGTGAATTGTGTAAGACTGATGATTTACGGACTTGTACCCCTGAAGCAAATAACACTCTATAAGTTAATAAAAAAGAAAAAAAAAAGGAAAGTAAATTTCATGATTCATATGATCTCAAATATTTAAGTAGCTTTTAAAAAAAACAAACAATGAACTCCACTTAGTTTTCCCTAAGTCATCAGAGGAAAAGATTAAGACATTCATAAATTACAAATAATGAAAATGTCTATTAAATCAAACTGTGTAGCCTCAAAGAAAAGAGTCATCTATCTAGAATTAAGATACTGCATGAATGTACTCTGAAGTCTCTTTAAATCAACTACAATGGATATAAAGATAAAGCAAATTCTCTTCTGAACTACTTTTTCTTAACCTGGGATAGATCAACAAACACAAACAGATTATGAGAAATGGAGAATAAATGACATTCCCTTGTATTTTGTAGACATACTACAGCTTTAGGGAAGCTTAAATTATAAACTTGAAATCACTAATCAATCTCTGTTTAAAAACATCAGGTTTGCTTACTTGGGTCTATTTGTTAAATCTTCCTTTAATTAAATGCTTTGACAGATTCTGCACTGTGTGTACTAGGAATGAAAATCGACTAACCATTAACCACATAAAGTCACTAAGATAAACTCTAAAAGGACCTAATCTAAGAGTCAAAGGTCATAAAATTAACTCAATTAATCTTGTTCCTTCTTCCTTAGGCATTGCCATTCCAGTACCCATTAGAGGGATAGAAACTGATGCAGGTAACCCAAGCAACATCACCTGTATGCTGACAAAGGATCGTTTTGGCAACTTCATGCTCTTTGGCTCACTGGCTGCCTTCTTCACACCTCTGGCAATCATGATTGTCACCTACTTTCTCACTATCCAAGCTTTACAGAAGAAAGCTTACTTGGTCAAAAATAAGCCACCTCAACGCCTAACGTGGTTGGCTGTGTCTACAGTCTTCCAAAGTTCCAAAGAAACACCTTGCTCATCACCTGAAAAGGTGGCAATGCTGCATAGTTCCCACAAAGGCAAAACTCTGCCCAACTCAAGTGATAAGATACGAAGGCGAAGAATGTCCACAGTTGGAAAAAAGTCTGTGCAGACCATTTCCAATGAACAGAGAGCCTCTAAGGTTCTAGGAATTGTTTTTTTTCTCTTTTTGCTTATGTGGTGCCCCTTTTTTATTACAAATATAACTTTAGTTTTATGTGATTCCTGCAACCAGACTACTCTCAAAAGGCTCCTAGAGGTATTTGTGTGGATAGGCTACGTTTCCTCAGGGGTGAATCCTTTGGTCTACACCCTCTTCAATAAGACATTTCGGAACGCATTTGGCCGATACATCAGCTGCAATTACCGGGCCATAAAATCAGTAAAAACCGTCAGAAAATGTTCCAGCAATATCTACTTCCAAAATCCAAGGGCAGAGAACTCTAAGTTTTTCATGAAACATGGAATGAGAAATGGGATTAATCCTGCCATGTTCCAGAGCCCAATGAGGCTCCGCAGTTCAAACATTCAGGCTTCCTCAATCATTCTATTAGATACACTTCTCCTCACAGAATATGAAGGTGACAAAACTGAAGAGCAAGTCAGTTATGTATAGAAGGAATGTCAGTTTTCATCTAATTAATATAACAATGAATAAGGTGATGAAGATGATATAAATGTACCAAGAATTATAAAAGAAGAACTTTATGTCATGTATCAAATCATCTCTTTAAAATAAGAATTATCTATTAGGATGTACAATTTTCTTTATTTGGACAAAACTACTCCATGAAAAAAATCATTTTGTATAGCTGAAAGCAAAAACAATCCAGCAGTCTGGCTAAATGTTAAGGTATTCAAATGAAATAAAATTAAGTAAATCAGAAAGTTTCAGTCTTAAAAATAAACAATGTCATTTTAAGAATTTGTTTAGTTCCTAACTGTATGAAAGCTGTGCTAAGAATGAAATAAGACAAAAAAGCATTAACCTCTTCAAAGCCTTAAAAACATAAGGCGTAACATAGAACAACAACGAGAGGAATAGAAGACTAAAAATAAGTGCACAGAATGATCGCATCTGGAGGTAAGCTAAGATTGTCACTACAGAGTCTGGCTCAGTTAAAGTAGTCATGATATTGCTTTGATCTAGAAACTTGTGATGGAAGGGGTAGGGAGGACGGTTGTTGGGTACCACACAAAGTAATAGGATCTCGGAACTAGAGCTATTTGTTAAATGTCTGATACCAGGTACATCTACTCACCAGAAGTGGGTCTAACTTAAAGAACAAGAGGATACAAATGAAATCACTCCAGCATACCTGAAATTCATTTTGTTCCTTGGAGAACAAGTGCAAACTGGAGACACAGGATCTCAATCCAGGAACCTAAACTTTAATGACCCCATAATGACCCAAAAACTTGGCTGAACTTCTGGCACAACATTTTTTATTCACCCTTTCCTAATTTCACTGTGCACTGCTAGATCTGGGAATAAATCCAAACTGTGTCACCAACTAACTGACTAAATTTATGAAAGATACTTAATTTCTCTGAGCCTCAATTTTCTCAGCTACATAGGGTTCTTATGAAATGAGTACAGGTGGGCAGTCTGTATTGGTAGCCAATTTTAGTTACATCTGATATTTTATTGTCATGCTATTGCTATAAATGGTGAACAAAATTAGACTGAAGGGTTCTGCAGTGATGACAGTCCACATCTTAGCTTTTCCTTTTCAGGCTGACCCATTCTTATGTCTCAACCTATTGCACTAGTGCTATCCCTCTCCAGGTGATTAAGTTTAAGAAAATTACTTCAAGAAATGTGTTGGCGGGCGCCTGGGTGGCTCAGTGGGATAAGCCGCTGCCTTCGGCTCAGGTCATGATCTCAGGGTCCTGGGATCGAGTCCCGCATCGGGCTCTCTGCTCAGCAGGGAGCCTGCTTCCCTCTCTCTCTCTGCCTGCCTCTCTGTCTACTTGTGATCTCTGTCTGTCAAATCAATAAAAAAAAAAAAAAAAAAAAAAATTAAAAAAAAAAAAAAAAAAA